TTTTAAAATAAATACTTCACTGTTGTTTGTCGTCTATAAATTGGTAAAGATGTTTGCAAATATTTATAAGAGTATGAAACTTTGAGTAAAATACGTGACCATTTTGGCTTATTTGGTATTATATTGTATTACATAAGGTTTGTTGTTCAAGTTTTTTTGGCTGTCCAGAAGTTTTATCACCAGCTGTCACTGTCTATTTACGATTGCTTAACATCAGTAACATTATAAGCACTCTTCGCTTTCTGAAAGTTTAAATGTATTTTATGTCAAAAATGGAAAATAAAAATTTAAAAGCTACTAAGAGCAATAAACTTTTCTGAAATTGTGGTTTAAGGAGTTCACTAAATCATAGTAAGCTTGATTTGTTGATGACAATAAACTGCAGAAATCTGTACCATGCTCACGTTTACGTTGATACTACGAATGACTTTCAAATTCTCTACAACATTTTCATCATCGAGATTTTTTAAATTATCAATAATTTTTAAGACTTCTAAAAAACCTTGATTTAATTGAGATTGACAACAATTTTTTTATATTGGTATTTTTTATGATACTGTTGTTAGCTGTAATAATCAGCAATTCTATTCATATTTCCAAATGTTTTATCGCAATTTTTTTAAAATTTATTACCGTCGATTAGCAGTGTAGCATGATACACTCTTCAACTTCAATCATAAATTTAATGCTGATGTTGAGACGGAGGTGATAGGTAAATTACGCACTTTTTTAAAACAAGTTTAAATTCAGTCGCAAAGATGACGCATTTTCTGCTTAATGAACTAACAAAAAATGTATATTTTAATGGTTTTTTTGCATCTATTGCCTTCCTCAGAAAAAAAAACTATTTTTTCAAAAACTTTAAATATTTTTTTCTAGGGGATGGAGGAGGTGAATAAAGGAAAATCATTCAAGCGTTTTGCTGCTTAAATGTAGGTAAAGCATTTGAACTGACAAAGGTAAAGAACCTCTAGAAAAAGAAAGCCCAAACTTCATTCGGTCCTGGTTAATATTGGGGATCTTTAAGTGTGAATTCTAATTTGACTTTCACAAACTGAAACCAAGTATTTTACTATAAAAGTATCCTAACATTGTCTTAGTGATTAAATCTTTAAACATTTTACCAAAAGTCGGTTTCGCTTTTACAAATTCAGCGCCTGAAAAAGTAGTTGAGCGAGGCTGAAAATGAATAACGCAGTTAAAATTCAATTCCGTCAGTCTCCGACGCTTCTTTCCTTATATTCATTTTTTTTTTTCAAAAAAGAAAACATCTAAATGAAATGTAGGAAAAAGCTGATAGGAAATGATGCTTTTTCTCCAGATTTTTCGACATCAAGAAGTCTTTTTAATACTGTATTTTTTCGAACAAATTTGAAAAAAAAAGCCTTTCTAATGTACAAAAATTTATAGATTCAAATTTAACTTGTCGACTAACAATTGACCTTGAATAGTTTTCGTGTACAGCTGATACGGAGTGATGTTAAAAATAAGTTTCATATTAATAATAGAGTTTTTTGTACCTAGAAGGAATATCATAAAAATTTGAAAGCTTTTATTTTACTAATAGAAGTACACTTTATCAAGAATAGTATATCCAATAGATTATTAGAAGAACAAAACTGCAAGTTTGTACTATATAATGTTTATAGTTGTTTGAACAGGTATAGCACAGAATAAAGACTGTTCTGGCCTTAAGTTTAGCGCTTTTTGTTGCTAAAAACTACAAGTTTTTGTTGTTCCACTTTAAATATTTGCAAAGACAAGCAGTTGATATTACCTATCTAACTGCAGGAAGGACTGGGTGATTGGGCTCTGGTAAAGTCAAAACTTGTCGAAGTAAAAATTCAGGTGACTTGTAAGGAATTTAGCTTTGTTCTTTGAATAACGCGTTTTTTTCTTTTAGAGGACTCTTATTAAGTTCATTTCCTGCGCTATTATAAATAGAAACATTGCAAATGAAAACGCATCATTTTTCTCCATTTCTTTAACAACTAATTATTTATGGTCACAAAACAAACTGTTCAGTGCAGCAAATATCATCAAAAACACAAAAGAATTTAGCTAAAACATATAAGATATCAAACAGATATCTTCTAATTTTAAAACAAATGCAAATTTATTTAATAAACCTATAAATTAAACTTTTTTATCAGTCTTTTAGAAGGTAAGAGGGGAGGTGGAGGGAGAGAAGAAAAGAATTAAATGTGTAGTACTTTTTTCAAACAAAGAGTTAACTAGAAAAATAGTTGTTTCAGGTAAGCTTCCAATACGGTTATGGTAGTTAATAAATTGAGACAAACGAAAACAACTTTTTTTAAATTTACCTATTTTGATAAGTATTTATGCATAAATTTGATAAATGAAGTTTAAAATTTATACTTTTTGAGCCATAA